GGGAGGCATTTGGAGTGCAATCAAACATCTGGCATTCAGAGCCCAGACTGGTTTTGTCTGTTACATAGGAAGCCAGATGCTGGAGCTGGATTCTGATTCAGGTGACTGCAGGATGATAGGCTTTGTTCCTCCATTACCAACAAGCAGCTTGTGAGTAAACAAATGGCACAATCGTATCCAGTAGGGAGTTTATCAGCAGGCTGGGAGCCAAATAGAGCCAAGACAATGTAATGGTTAAAGGGATGGACTGGGAGCAGGGAGACCCAGGTTCTAGGGCCCCGCCCCTCAGCTGCAGAAGCTCATTGGCTGAATTTGGGCCAATCCCTCCTTCCCTCTCAGCCCAAGAGCCAATTAGGTGTAGCAGGGAAGCTGCTGGGCTAGGAGCAGGGAGACCCAGGTTCTAGGGCCCCGCCCCTCAGCTGCAGAAGCTCATTGGCTGAATTTGGGCCAATCCCTCCTTCCCTCTCAGCCCAAGAGCCAATTAGGTGTAGCAGGGAAGCTGCTGGGCTAGGAGCAGGGAGACCCAGGTTCTAGGGCCCCGCCCCTCAGCTGCAGAAGCTCATTGGCTGAATTTGGGCCAATCCCTCCTTCCCTCTCAGCCCAAGAGCCAATTAGGTGTAGCAGGGAAGCTGCTGGGCTAGGAGCAGGGAGACCCAGGTTCTAGGGCCCCGCCCCTCAGCTGCAGAAGCTCATTGGCTGAATTTGGGCCAATCCCACTTTCCCTCTCAGCCCATGAGCCAATTAGGTGTAGCGGGGAAGCTGCTGGGCTAGGAGCAGAGAGAACCAGGTTCTAGTCCCTGCTCAGCATGGAAACCCTCACAGGGTTGTTGTGGGAAGAAGTAGCAGGAAGGAGCAAGGACAAGGAAGGAGAGCTGTGTATGCCATCTTGAGCTCCCAAATGAGGTGGCATATAAATCTAAAATAACAATGATGGTGATGATGTATATCATATTGAGACAATATTGAGGAAGAGGGCTATACGGGGGACGTGCTCATAGCTAAGGAGTGCTGACTGCTGACAGCCCCTCTACGTCGCAACATTTTATTACAGGGGACCACTTGTCCCTAGCTGAATACTTCATTGGCAAGCGACAAATCTCTGTGCTAAGTGGGGTCCAGGCCCTGCATTCTTACAGGACTAACTGGGAATGGCTGCTGCAGGAAAACAGGGAAAACCAGAGCAATGTTTCCTAGAAGAGGACAACTGCTGTCCTCCGATTCTTGTGGGTTTTGCAGGAAGCGCCTCAAGGACTCAGCCCTAGCTGCTCCGGACGCATCGTTGGACAGAAGCAGGCTAGAAGAATAAGGCTGGCCAGGATTTGGGCCGAATCTCCCAGAGCAGCTGCATCACCGTTGCTTCTGCCGTGCAGAAAGAGCGCTGGTTGGAAGGAGCCCCAAAAGAGCAATGGATCAAGCAGAGATGCATCGGGCATCTTCCTGGATGGCAGGGGGGCTTTCAGCTCCTTGTCCCACCTTGTTACCAATTTTAGAAGAGCTGAAATTGAAGCTCTAATCCAGTGTTTCTCAGCCTTAGCCGCTTGAAGATGTGTGGACTTCAGCAAGGCTGGCTGGGGAATTCTGGGAGTTGAAGTCCACACATCTTCAAGCGGCCAAGGATGAGAAACACTGCTCTAATCTGTGCTGAGAGGTTTGATTGCACATGAAACTAAAGAGATAACTGGAACTGCCTTCTCGCCTTACACGAATCGGATCGCCTCCTTTCTACAACGCAGAACCTATATATCTATCATTGCTCCGTCCCATCTCAGCCCGTCTCCTATTAGCGGTTGGCTGGGGCTGGCGAGATTTGAACTTTCGGAAGGGCAGGCTGAAAGGGAAGGAGTTAAGAAGCAGCAGATGTCTGGAATGGAGCAAAAAGCAGTGGAAAAAAGAAAAGAAAAAAAACCCGATCCTAATTAGATTAGGAGCAATTCCACTCACATATAACCTATTTCCTGCTCTCTACTTCCTTCCTGAGATGTCACAGACCTGTTTCTCCGTATGCCTAAACTTCTACTTCTGCAAATGAATCCGTCATATCCCAGGTGAGATCACAGCACCTGGACGTGACATTGCATGCAAAGAACCGCTGTTAGGGGTGATTGGCTAGAATTTACCTCCTGCCACTCAGGGCTCAACCAGCTTCCTCCTAGTTTCTAGGGTATCTTTATTATTTAAAGCTGTTTCGCTTCACAGGTGGGAAAGACAAGTCAGCATCTTCCTCTAGAGCACAATCAAACCCAAAGTCTACATTTCTTCCCAGGAACTGATGGAGTACAGAGCCACGTTTAAATGGGACCTCCATGTTTAGGAACTCTACCCACCTGTTAGAATCAATGGCTGGAGGCTAACAATGGGGCCATGGAGGAAGATGACTGCCATCGTAAGGATTTACCCCCTCATTCTCACACAGAAGTAATATCCAAGCCTAGTTGCCCAGAGAAAACCAACTGCATTCAAAGGATACAAAAGCTGAACTTTGCACCATCTGAAATTGTTAAGGGACAAGTTAGCCTCCCTGGACCAGCCCGTGATGGCTTCATAGATGACCAGGGGAAGCATCAAACAGCTTGGCCATCCAACTGTGAACAGTTGCCATCAAGAAGTGTTGGCCAACTGCAAGGACCTTCTTACCGACGTCCACAATGTCCAGCATCACCACATCCGAGACGGCCATCCCAAGTCGATTGGATGCTTCCACCCAAATTTCGTAAGGTGTGAAAAGGGCCAAATCCTTGGGAATGTGGCAGGAATATGGGCCAGCAGTGTGATACTCTTGGCAGATGTTGTCACGACCATACCACCTACAAAAGAGGGGTTCTTTAGTCCAAAACAGTCCTGGGCGTTCTCTCCAACCCTCCAGTCGTAACTAATCTGGAGAAAAAAGAGCAGTCTATCTTGCAAAAAATCCAGCTCTAGAAGAACATGCAGACAGGAGAAGCTCGCTGAGGATTAGGCGTTACCGCATCATGGAAGGCCTCCATGTTTAGAAGCAGTCTACCTCTGAGTGCCCAACACTTAGGGCAAACAAGAGCTGAGAAGGGCTGCTGAGGTTCCTCCAAGGGCAGAGCCGCAAGGCAGCAGCTCTTAATGTAACGGGATAGGTGGACTTCTTTCTTCTAGATACTAATTCCCTAACCGGGCTCCTTCACCGCCACCCTAGCTGGGAGCGAGAATCGAACGCATCAGACTAAGCATTGTCTGAAATCCAACATGACTACAGAAATGCAGCTCAGGGTGCGTCTCGTTGTTCTAAAAGACGGATCGCCAGCTTTCCGTCCCTTCTGTGCCCGGGTCATTCAGCCTACCTGAGTTTGTATTTCAGGGTGTAATTTGTATGCAGGTACGTCTCGCCCTCTGTTCCAGGTGCCCATCTACAGGTGAGGTCTTTCAGATTCTTGGACCAGCAAGAGATGTTGGTTGGCTTTTCGGGGGGCACTGAAAGATATAAATAAATCCATATATCTCTACAGCTGGGTACGTATATTTACAGGGAAACCCAAATGCCAAAAGCTAGGAAATAGTAAAAGGACGGTTTTGTTTGCTTTTTCAAACAGCGGTGCCGCTCTCTTTTGGCACGGGTGAGAAATTTTAAACCATGGCCTGCAGTTGTCCTTTGCATAACAACAAGGCTGTTCCCCCTGAAGTTTCCATCCTTCCAAAACCCGATCTTTAAAAATAGCCTGTGATAAAAATCATACATATATTGATTTGGACAACTGTCATGGTCCAAATGGAGTGTTTTCCTCTTCCATGGCAGCTCCCAAGAGCAGAAACTTTCTCATATCGGTTAAAGGTCTCAGAAGCTAAGCTGGAAAGACAAAGAAGTGCTGAACACGTACAAAGAGCTAGTTTAAACCTGGTCAAAGGTTTAGCTTTTCACGGCATCCAATCCTGTTCAAGAAGGCCTTTTCCAGCTTTTAGTACTGTATTTAGTATTTTAGCTTAGCTTAATGGGTAGAACACCTCCTCTGCAGTCTGAAGGTGGCTAGTTTAGTACTCTGCAGCTTCAGGATCTGGTTTCAGATGATGAGAAAGGCCTGGGATCCATCACCAGTAAAGCTAAACAGTGTTGACCTGGATACCCAGTTTTTCAGCACCACAAACATGCTTTAAACCAGTGTTTCTCAACCTTGGCAACTTTAAGATGTGTGGACTTCAACTCCCCTAATCCAAGAGGCGGGAGGCTCCAGAACCCTCTCTCCTGCCCTTTGTATCCCAAGCCCCAAAGCGCTTCCCGCATCCTCTTGTTTTCAGCCCTAGCACGCCCCATCTATGATGGGGGTTCATACTACGTGACTTTACAGGATTCCTATAATGATCATAAGTGTGAAAGGATTTTCCATGTTTGGCTTACAGAAAATATGAAACTTACGGCTACTATGCCTGTGGCTCAGTACAAGTCAGTTTCACAGGATCCAGTTAGCTTATATATTTTTCCCCTCCCAGAAAAGCTGCCAATTCCAAACAAAAGGCAGATTAATCTAAAATCCTTCTCCCTGAAGTGGCCATATTTTTCCAAGAAGGCCTCAAGGAGAATTTGGTAGGTTTCCCATGTGTGTCTCCAGCACAGTGTTTCTCAACCTTGGCAGCTTTAAGACGTGTGGACTTCAACTCCCAGGGGAATTCTGGGAGTTGAAGTCCACCCGTCTTAAAGTTGCCTAGGTTGAAAAACACTGTGCTGGAGACACCCGGGAGGAACCCTGTTCTCCCTGACCGAGGGCCTGTAGAAGGCAGCAGAGGGATGCAGAAAGCAGGTTGCTGCCCTCTAGTGGTTACCTGAACTTTTACAGTCCCTAAACAGCATTGATCCACCATGTACAAGAGGAAGCCAGTGGCTTGGAATGAGACGGGCGGCTATAGACATGGCAGAAATCAATAAGTAAATAAATAAATAAATAAAATAAGCCAGTCACAGGCCCGATTACAAAAGTAAAAAGCATCTCCCTCCCTACTCACTCTCTCTGGCACACACATACATGTACACAAAGGTCAGTCAGTCAGTCAGAACTGGGTGCACTTAATGGTTATGGGACTGAGAGGGGGAAAAATAGGAGTGGGACAGAATAGGCTTTTGGAAGAATGCATGATGGACAGGCTGGCTGACAGTGGGGAGTAAATGGTGAGGCTGGCTGGCACAGGGTTGGGGGGGGTGTCGTAAAAGTGGCAAGACGATGGCTAGGACATCACCCTGTCAACCTTGCCCCTTTTGGGAATTAAGGCTGTGAAGCACTTCAGATTCAAAAGGGAAAAAAGGGCTTGGGAGAACAGGGGGATGCTTCGATGGGGTATTTTCCCGGCCTTCTGCAGCTGCAGTGCAATTCCAAGAAAAGGTGGGTTTGGTTTAAGAAGCTGCAGCAACCCCTGCTCCAGCGTGCCTTTTTGCCCTTGAACCCGAAGCATTGCACAGAAAGTCCTGCAACGGGGCACGGTTCAGCTCACCAGCTGGGACCTTAAAGGAGAGGGAATCATGATTTTTGGAAGGATTCCCTGCAGCTCCCATTTGCACATCTATATGTGACCCAGGGAATGGGGGCGGTGGGAATCCCATCTGATCAAGCCTCAGACATACGTCCTACATAGAGACACGACCCGGCCAAGATGCTTCCGCCTTCCTTGCTGTGGCACACCAGGTTATCCCCTGACTGCTGCCGCGATCCGTTCAGCTGGGAGAGGGTGACGCTCAGGGTGGTGGCCCCCAGGACCTTGTAGGTCTCAGCTGGGAGCTTCCGGCCATTCAGGGTCCAATAAAGGTCCTCGGCCTTCAGGCCTGAAGTGGCCGTGACGGAACAGTTGGCCGTGAATGAAGCGCCAATGTGGAGCGTTGCGTCTTGGGGAGCTATGATGGCTGGGTCTGCAGTGAGAGGGAAAAATAAAAAAAAAAGATCAAATCAATCTCTGCGGTTGGTTTGCTTGTTTGGTCTCTGGGTGGCATCCAAAAATAATCTCGAATATGAGATGTTATGCCTCTTGGTCAGTGTTGTCCAAACTTGGCCACTTTAAGATGAGTGGACTTCAACTTCCAGAATTCCCCAGCCAGCATGGGGAATGGCTGGGGAATTCTG